ATCTTTCACCTCAAGCAGTGAAGTATCAACATCATCACAAACAACAACTTCAAGCATACAAATGTCATCATCATCATCATCAGTAAACCCACCATCTACTACTCGACCAACACTGAGCATGTCATCAGCCACTACACTAAGCACAAGTTCTTCTGTCATGCCCACCACTTCAGTTGATGATAGTAATAATTTGTTAGTTATTGGTGGAGTCATTGGTGCAGTGTTGTTTATTTTAATAACACTAATAGTCGCTATTCTGTTCATTGTTTTATTAGTAGCAAGATCAAAAAGGAAGTCCAATAAACTAGATTTACCTGCTGCTACTACAAATGACACAAGTGTTACAAATCCAATAAGTGAGACGATTATGTAAATGATTGTTATTCTCACTCTTTGTAGTTTTTTCTGACTTATATGGCACAATACCTAATCAGTCAAAGGTTATTCCATCTGATGACTATGACGAAGTTGCAGTTTTGAAGCACCAGTCAGTATCACAAACTGCCTCCTTATCACACAGTGTTATATATGCTGAATTAGAAGATTTGGAAACTAAGGTCCTTGTTATAAGTTTTGAAAAGTGTATCAATCATACTATAATATAGGATGAGAACAGGTATCCAATTGAGGAAATTTATGACGGTGGAAATATTGCTGATGTGGTGCTACCTCCCCCAATTCTTTTAGATGTGCATGTATGTAAAAATAGTTAATCAATTTAGACTGTAAGTATTGCATGTATTTGTTATAGGTTGATGATGGTAATACTGAAGGTCTAGCCAATTCATTGTATTTCATACCAGAAGATGCTGAGGGTGGAGCTACATTTGATGAAAATGTTGGTATTAAATTTTATTAAAATAATTTATCATGACTTTTATAATTTGAACTCTTATATAGGCTGGAAATAGTGATAACAACAATTTGCCTGTCTATTTTACATTAGAGAATGAGAACAAAACTGTACCAAAATTTAATGCCCGAAAACTTGTTAGTATTATTATTTTAAATACCTTGTTATTGTAATTGATTCTTAGGCCAAAAGGAATACTTGTGCATTTATTCAACCTGGAGAAAGTGAAGATGAAATTTATGGGCAAATTGAACGTTCATCAAATTCTATGATTGATAA